ACAATCAACACCATATGCATACATCACGGCCGTTAATGCCGCGAATCCACCAAAAAATCCATCTATAAGCTGTCCGATATTTTGCACCTCTAATATCACTCATGGAAATTACATATTCCGAGTTTCAAGACGATTCTAGCTGTTACTTGTATCTATATACAAGTTTATACCGATTTAATAAATGTCACTGATACTGAAATTGACTGACTGATTTGAACCTATTTTGATATGAAAATTTAAAATTTTTTTCCCACATTTTTTTTTTAGGATTTTGTGCTAGAATTTATAATTAAAATGTATACGTATATGGATTTTATGTTTTTCAAATTGAGACTCCAAATTTCAGCATTATACATGAATGTCATTACACTATTACAGTATTAACATTAAAAGAGAATGAATAGCCGTGCACTACTGATAAACTGTTTTGTGTAATAAAGTTTACGTATAATTAACCACAAATGTGTAATCCTTGCTTATGTCTATTGACATTTTGTTTAAAGAATGAACGTTTAAAAACTGTGTAACAGATTTAAATGAATGGGATAGAAATCAACCGATAATATTAAGCGGTTAGAGATGCTATAAAAGGGTATATATATTTCCTTCGTTTCTTCTACATTCCCTTTTATTTAAATTCACTATTTAAATTCACTATTCGAATTAATCATGACGTCTTCAACAAAAAAAAGGGAAATAATACCAGAGACTGTGAATATTATTAATGAATCTACACCACTTTTAAACAATAATGAAACCTTTAATCGTCTAATAATAATAAAAAGTCCTTGGTATAAAACTCCTTCAGCGTATTGGTTATTACCTATATATATCGTAAATGCCATTTCACTTGGATTAACAATTACTACAAAAGTAGAATTTTATGTACAAATTGTTTGTAAAAATTACTATGATTCGAAGGAAAATTTGTCTCCCATAAACCTTAATATTTTAGATGATGTTGATATATGTAATATTCCGGAAATTCAAGCTATTACTTCACAATTGATGATGGTATTATCTCTTTGTTTAGCGATACCAGGTAAAATTATATTTCTACGTAGAAATGTTTGTGCATAAAACTTGTGATACAGTATGATACAGTAATGCATAAAACTTTCAATTGCCTTAGGAATCTTTGTATTAGTACCATTGGGTACACTCTCTGATAGTAGAGGACGTCGTTTGGTCCTTATTATTGCGTGTGTAGGAAAAGTACTTGAGGCTTTAAACATTATTTTGGTTGGAAATTTTACGCAATTTCTTGGATTAGGGTTTTTGATATTCGGACAGCTTATAGATGGATTTTTTGGTGGATTCGCGGCATTAACGGCCGTGATGTATGCATATGGTGTTGATTGT